TTGCAAGTCTGGGTGCAAGTCATGCTTGGCAGATCCTCTTTCATCCTTGCAGGGAAAAAGGGGAACAGCCTTCAGAGGGTTCCAGACCCAAGGATGCAGGTACAGGGATTGCCTGTATGTGCCATTTGAAGACCTTTTATCAGATCCCTTCATGAATCCCAGCGAAGTTTATGACAAGACAATACATGATCAGCTTGGGGTGCAGGGGTACAGGTGCACTGGCCCAGTATTGTGGGAGCTTGTGGTTTCTCACATCAGTTGCTGCCTGTTCCCTCGAGGATGGTTTTGTTTATATTAAATTAAAAAGCTTTCCAAATAAGATGCTATGGCTGATTACTTGTACTCCAGACAAGTCCCCAACTCTGTCCCTCACTCTGGCTCCACTGCCAGCTGGAACAAAACCTCATATGGCATCTTTTGTCCTGTCTTGCCCAAGCTTTGTCTGACCCTTGCCCAGGATCCCATCCCAGATGGAGGGAGCACCCAGCCAAGTGAGCACCCAGCCCTTCAATTCAGGAGGGATCTCACCCCAGCTTGGTCCTTCTGCAACAATGTGAGGGCACCCCCCTTCCAAAATCTGAGCCTCTGTGTTCTTTTCCTTACTCCTCTGAAAAGTGACCAAGGAATCATAGAATCCTAGAATGATTTGGGTTGGAAGGGGCCTTAAAGATCACCTGGTTCTACCTGCCTGCCGTGGCAGGAACACCTTCCTCAGGGTTACTCCTGACAGAAGAACCTGTGTCGACGCCTACGAGGGTTCGGGAATAGTCCGTGGGTACACAGGAATAACATGGACAGTTCCTGCCATAGTTAAGGATAAGAGGATGCAGAATCCTCCCCCGTGATGCCAAGAGCCCTTAATGCAGCAATTGGCTCATGGTTTCAGAAGCCACTTAGAGGCTTATTCTGGTGTTAGTGCCTTGTGAGCGGCTGGGAGCTCAGTGCTGGAGGGCTCCAAGGCTCCGGGGTGTTAGTGGAGTCCTGGCTCTCTTCTCAGTGGGAGCACAGGAGAAGGTGGAGTCAGTGGTCTTCCTCTACTTACAGCCTGTCCAGGAATGGGAGGCTTGGAGTCAGTGATCCAGACCCACATCTTCCAGAAAAATGATCTCAGAGCCGAAAGAAGCCCCAAGACACAGGCTAGGGCTGGAGTCCTCTGTGCCACAGAATGCTCCAGCCTCTGGGTACGAACCTAACCACATCTTGGACACCAAAGACCTCTCCAGATGTGCTACCACAAAACCCTGTGGCAGCCAGGAGCAGCAGATGGATTTCCACGGGGTGGTGCCAGACCTATGTGAAGGGAGCTGGGTGCCCTGCACATCCCTGGGCAGAGATTCCTCACCTTTTCCTTACTCACCAGCCCAAACCCATATTGAAGCTGGCTTCACACAAGCAGCCACTCCATGTTGCTCCAGGTATTTAAGAGCCAAATTAGCCCACTTATTGAAAACATCAAGTGTTTGAAGAGCTGGGGAAAAGAGGAGTTGCTGTGACATGACCCACCTCCCTGGTAGCACCAGTTGCAAAGCACAGGCACGAGGCCACCACGAGGGTCAGCGTGACATGGGCACGGTGGGAGCTGTGTCTCGCTGCCCATGGGGGACCACGTGGCACATCTCAGCCCTGGGCTTGTCAGCCCTGCCGTAAGAACAAACTGCGTGGGCAGTAATTCTTCCCAAAAATGCTCTTCCAGTCAGTGATGGAAAACTCCATCATGGGCTATTAAATATGAAGTCCCTGAGCCACAAATCCTGCACCAGTCGGAAGTGCCAGACTATTTATACACTCCCGTGTAAGAGCCATAGCAGACCTTTGGCTGTCTCCACTGCTTTTTGAACGTTTTCCAGTCCAGCTATATGCTTCCGAGACAGGGAGAGCAGAAATGCACTCCGTGAATTATGGATGTGTGGAGGGTCATAATGATGTTCTCCCTTTCATAGGCTTCTCTTCTCCAAATGATTTTTAACCTGCGCCTCTCATTCAAGCAGCTCTCGGACTACCTGGTAACTCTGAGCTCTCATTCCAGGGAGGGGATAACTTGGGGCACGTTGTAAGACTGTGAAGAGAAGAAAATAAAAAAACCCACTTTTGTCCTCATTCAGTACCAGCTGCCATTTTATTGTCTTCTTACACAGTGTCACAGATCGTTGTTCACCCTGAATTGTTGATGGGCTTGTCACCACATGGACCACACAGAGGTGGAAGTTGTGAGCTAGAGGGTTGGAGACAGGGTTGCACACCAGGGTTTTGCCCAGTCTGGATGGTTGGAATCCTCCCCCAAATGCTGCTTCATCCTTCACCATCCTCTCTACTCGCTCCTCTTCATCCTCCCCAGCAGCTGGGAGGAGTGGGAGGAAGGCAGGAGGCAGACAGTGCTGGGGTGTGTGAGGAGAGGACCAAAGTGGCTGATCCTGGGATAGAGCAGTGGTGGCCCCAGCTGTTCCTGGTCCTAGAAGGAAGTGGTGGTAGTTATGGCAGTGCTTCCCAGCCAGGTTCCCCACTCCACTGCACATTGAAGCACTGAGGAGGGCACATCCCTGTGCCTGGGAGCAGCACCTGACGGGGCAGGAGGTGTGCAGGGAGCAGGGAAGCTTTCCCACCTGTTTCCTCTCCCTCTCCCCAACTCCTGACAAATGCTAGCACAGCCCCTGCACTGCCTGGGAGCTCTTGTCCCCACCCCTGGGAGGCTGCAGGCAGGTCATTGAGCAGCTGTGATTTGTCCCTCGCCCTCGCAGTGGGGATGAATGGGACCGTGCACCCAAGGCAGCTCCATTCCATCTGCATGGAGTGTGAAGAGAGTGAGATATGATGTGCAGCAGGAGCAAATTCTTGGTGTCCTAAGTACATAAAAGCCAGTGTGGTATCAATGCCTTTGGGGCCTGAACTCTTTTGTCCCACGCTGACAGGCTGAAATAGAAAAACATCTCATCTCCTATCCTCTCCCTTCTGCAAGAGCAAAGCCCTTGGGCCCACAGCCCTGCCCACAGCAGGATTTGCAGGGTTGGGGTCAGGGTTGGGGTGTGACAAAATGCTTGATGAAGGCTTTGCCTTATCTGCTCATCCTCACCACCCATAACTGGTCCCACACGCCTGCCCTGCACCAGGTCGAGGTCCCGTCTCCCTGAGCCATCTGCCTGCCGGCTGGGCTGCCGGTGGCCCCATTTCCCCCTTCCTCCATCCTGAGCACCAGGACTCAGTCTGCTAAAATCCCCATCGAAGGTGGGATTACCAGGCGCTGTCTGGAGCTCAGATCACCTGGGTTTTTCAGCCTTGGGCAGAGGAATGAGCTTTGTGGAAAATAAAAATGGGATAGGGTTGAGAGCCTGGCATGGAGCTCCCTAGGGAGTGGAAGGAGGTGTCTCCTGGGGCTGAGCAGCTGATTTAGCTCCTGGAAGGCTTCATGCCAGATGAATTGTTTTTGCTGGGTGTTTGAGATCCTGTTTTGCTCTGCCTGGGCTGGGAGACAGCCCCAGTTCTCTGCTCAGCTTAATACTTTAGGCACAGTGGAAGAAGAGACGCTCAAGGACCATGTGGCTGATGGCCAGGAGCGGATCTAGGCAAGGTCTATAAAGAGCATCATGGCACATAATGCCAACTACCTGAAAGGAGGTTGTAGCCAGGTGGGGGTTGGTCTCTTTTCCCAGGCAACTATCAGCAAGACAAGAGGGCATGGTCTCAAGTTGTGCCAGGGGAGGTTTAGGTTGGATATTAGAAAGAATTTCTTTACAGAGAGGGTGCTCAGACATTGGAATGGGCTGCCCAGGGAAGTAGTGGATTCTCCATCCCTGGAGGTTTTTAAAAAGAGAGTGGATGTGGCATCAGTGCCATGGTCTAGTAACTGCAGCGGTAGTGGATCAAGGGTTGGACTTGATGATCTCTGAGGTCCCTTCCAACCCAGCTGATTCTATGACTCTGTGATTCTATAAGGACCTTCCATCTCTCCACTGCCACGTCCTAAGGATGGGGGTTGGCAGGGCAATGAAAACCTGCAAGAGAAGAGCTGTCAGAGTATCTCCAACAGCATCAGCCCACCACCCTGCATGGGACGGGCTGGGAGCCAGTGGACACCCTGGCTTAGCCCAGCTAAAATTGAGCCAATGGGACTGGGCAGTTCTGGGGGGTTTGAGCTTTTCTTCAGCACATCAGGGGAAACACAGACCCTTTAACTGAATCCACGGAGCAGCCCTTTCCCTCCACCCACCTTCTTCAGCTTTTTGCAAATCCTGGATTTTTTTCTAGCCTAGAAATGGAGCTATAAGGTGCTGGGGGACTGCTACCAGGAACTCCAGGAGGGGCTTCCCTAAGAGGTCCCCACCAGCTTTAGTACTGCTTGATGGCAGAGGCTTGGGTTCCCTGGGGAAAGGGAAGGACCCACTAATGGAGAAACCCTGGGAAAGAAGCAATATTAAATTGCACCTCACTGGGAAGAAGCCACCCCCATTCCAAATGGATCCTCTCACTGGATGCAGCTTTGTGAAAGCCATGGCAGCATCCGGATCCAGGAGCAACGAGCCCAGAACTGGGGTGAGAGAAGCCCTGCTGACCCGGTCCCAGCTCCAGGCACACAGCCCTGCAGGCCCCAAGTGATGGCCTGTATTCCAAACCACTTCAGATTCCACAAGCACACCCAGAGGCTCCCTCCCGGTCCAGGAAGCATCCCATGGTGCAGGCAAAGCAGGAGCCCAGGTAGCCTGGGAGGAACATGAAGCAAGATCCTTTATTGTACACAGTACAGAATGTAATGCAGCTTTGCAGGAGATACATAGCCCTGCTTGAGTAAAGATATTTCAAATCAGTCCTCAGATTAACCCCTTCTGCACTGCAGACCTGCCACACCGAGCAAATGGTTAAAACCCTGTCCCCAAGGTGGGGTTCCCAAAAACCAAATGCTCCCCATGGGTACAGGCCACTGCAGCCCCCATGGGGAGAGTAACCGAGTCTTCGTGAGTTAATCTTCATACTTCCCCAAAAAAGAATGAATCCGACCAAAAAAAAAAAAAGAACAACCCAAAACCAAACAAACCCCAAAAAATTCCAACCGAAGCTAACTAAAGAAGAGAAAAAAATTCCTATACAGCATTTACAATGAAAACATGTAGCCTGGTGCGGGGGAGGCAGGTATGGATATACGAGTGGTGGATGAGTGTTAGGGGGTGCAGCGGGGAGGGGGGGAGCTGGAGAGAAGTGGGGTACCCAGGAAGGGGGGTGGGGGACCCCCCATCCCTGCCCACCTCAGCCTTACAGCCCAGCTCCGAGGCCATGCCGAGCAGGGGGAGCGCAGCTGAGCCGACACCGGGGTTCAGTCCCGGCTCCCCGGGAAAGAGGACTGGAGCAGTGAAATGGAGTGGACTAGATCCTTCGGCAGCCATCCCAGGGAGCCACAGGCATTGAGGGTTGCCCCTGCAAGCATGCCACCGGGAAAGCCATGGGGGTGTCTCCAGGGGCTCCGGGAACAGCAGCCGGGCTGCAAAAAATAGCTTCGCCTTAAAATACAAAAAATCTACAAAAATCAGTTTAGAAACCTTTCTTATTTTCCTAAAACATCAAAAAAAACCCCCCAAACAAAAACAAAACAAAAAAAACCCCAACAAAACAAGGAGGGAATTAGTGTCAGGGTCTCCTCCCCTAAAATGCAACCCATGGGCTGCAGCCAGAGCTGAGGAGGATCGAAGGGGGCACGGAGAGGATGCAGTGGATTATATGGGAACAACAGGTTATATGAGGAGGGGGGTTCGGGAAGAAGGCAGAAGGCTTCTCAGGGTTGGGGTAGGATGCTGCACACATCAGCCCTGGGGTGCTGGCCAAGGCAGCCCCCCTGCATCCCTCCTCTCTGTGCAAATCAAAGCCCTTTCCACCACACAAGGCAGCTACGCGGATTGTGCTCGATGCAAAGCAGATTGTCGTGACAATTGGCTCGGTGGCCACGCAGCCCAGTCCTGGGGCACTGCCAGAGCCAGAGCCTGGGGCAGACACTGCAGCTTTAGGCTCCCGGCGCCCCAAAACATCACGCTGATGTGTGGCAGGAGGTGCCGGCCACGGGCAGTCCTGTGCACTAGCCCTTGGACAGGAAGGGTGGGAATTCATCGGTGGCACACGCGGGGTGTTTTAGATCCCTCCAATTTGTGTGTGCACCCACGCGGTTTGTCGTTGGGTGCTTTTTTTTTTTCCTTATGAACAGCCAAAAATATTCTTTAGAAAACAAGGTTTGCCCCAGGTGGATGTGCTAGTGCCAATGGCTCTGCCGGCCGGCCGAGTCAGTAGGCGAAGCCCTCCGCGTAGGGAAGGCTGCCACAGGGATCCATCTCCAGAAGGAATGCTGGGCTGTCCTCGAAGTGCGTCAGCGGCACTGTCTCCTCCTCTGGCACCGGGCAGTCGGGCTCTGTCTTCAGGAAAGGGCGCTGGTTGTCGGGATAGGCCATGGAAAAGAGGGCGTCGGGGTCGCAGACGAATTTATAGACGTACCGCTCACCGGCAACCTGTGAGGAGGAGGAGGAGGAGGGAGGGTGTGAGAAGTACCCTGAACTTGCACCCTGTCCTGGGGAAGCACTGCACACCTGACACTGGAGCTAACCCCCCTCCTGCTGCCCCTTAGGATGCCACAGTGACAGTGGGGGACAGTCACACCCCGTTGTGGGGTGGCAGGTGGGGTTACTCGCCTTCTGCATGATGCCCTTCTCATAGTAGTAGCGCAGGGAGCGGCTGAGCTTGTCGTAGTTCATGGCTGGCCGGTTCTTCTGGATGCCCCAGCGCCGTGCTACCTGCGGGGAGAGGTGCAGCAGTCAGGGCTCCAGTGAGGGCTTGGACACGGATCCTCACACGAAATCACAACAGAAACGAAAAGGGGCTCGTTTCAGAGGGCTGATGCAGCCGGGGGTGAAGGCATCACCATGGCCCAGGAGTGGTGCCCCGCCTGCCATTACACACACTCCAGCTGCGGCCACGCAGCCACCGCCAAACCGGGAGCCGAATCAAAAGCCATTTGATTAGGGGGAGCCTGCCAAAAAAGCTGCTTCAAAAAACCACAATTTCCATGCATGGCACAAGAGACATTATGGGTAATTACCCACAATGCACAGCTCTGTGCTTGCTACAGCTGCTTTCAATTACTCCCCAAACAGCTTCTTCCTCTGTGTCACCCTCCCGCGGAGCCACACGGCTCCAGCAAGGCAGCGCGCCAGCACGGAGCCGCTGCTGGGAACCCAGGGCAAAGGATGGGAGCAGTTTGGGAAGGAGGGAGCCTTGGTGGAGCAGCAGGTCTCGGCAAGGCACAGCACAGAGGCAACGCCACCGCATCTGGTGACCACTTGCAGCTTCAGGGGCTGGCACGTGCCACGCCAAGAGGCAGTGGAAGAGATTAAAGGCAAATTTCTGCAGCTACCTGGAGAGTAAAGACACGTGTCTCGCTTCAAGTGCGAGCGTGAACATGCTGTTGCATGGGAAGGATCCAGCCCTCTCCTGCATCCCCCATGGCCACTCCCCAGCCTGAGGGCAGGACCACCTCTCGTACCTCCTCAGGCTCGATCAGCTTGAACTCCATGCCCCGGCCAGTCCACGCGATGAAGTGGGCATTGGCAGGGTCATCCAGGAGGGTGACGAGGAACTGCCAGAGCTGCAGGGACCCACGGCGCTGGTAAGGAGGGCCCTCGCGGTACAGGGTGGGCTCCTGCTTCACCTTACCTGCCCGCACAGAGACACCTGGTTAAACACCCTGGCTCTGCCCCTCTCCCAGGCTGTGTCACCAGCAACAGACATGTACAGCAACACTGAGGTCATCCCTGTGCTGAGACAGCTGAGCAGGATCAGGCCATGGGGTGGGAGAGGGAAGAGGTGCTGCAGGCAGGAAGGTTTGGCAGGGACAGAGATGGGCATGGTGACGATGCCAAGCTGCTGTGTGGGATGGTGCTCAGCAGCTCGTGAGAGCACTGTACCAGCACTGCTTGGCTTTAAAAGCCAGACACTGTGGATCCCAGCATCCCCGCATCTCCCTCCATGAGCCCTGGTCCCCCTGCAGGCCTCCTCTGGGGTCAGACTCTTACCCTCCAGCCTCTCTGGTACCACGCATGTGTCATCAAAATACAATCGTGTGTCCTTTTCATATGAAAATCCTATGGGGAAAAGACCCTTAGTGAGCACAGTGTCTCAACCACTCTGGTGGCTTGACAAACCCGGGCTTGGCCCAACCCAGCACAAGACCCTATCCCCAGCTCCAGCAGCAGACTCAACCCCAGGTATTTCAGTGGCTGAGCACCGTGCAGCTCTGCCCCCCCTCACTCCGGGGAGCTGGCGGAACCAAAACCCTCTTAGCAGCTATATCAGGCATATTATCCCAGATTACACGGCGCTGCCGTGCCCTTGCGGCACACTCGCAGGGGCTGCTGGCTGCTTTTAGTGCTGGTGCCACTGCATGTGGCTCTTACAGGCACCACCGTGCTCCTGGGGGTGTTTTCAGGGTGACCAGAAGCTCTGTTGGCCTCCTGGAAGGTACTGCCTGCCCCAAAAGAGGGATGGGATGGGACCCACCAGGGATGCCATGAAGAGGGTAAGAATGGGGGAGGTCACTCACCGTCATGGCTGCTGGGGAAGACATTCCCCCGTAGGTACGAGGACTGGCAGTTAGGCACTTCTGCAAGAGAGATGAAGGTGACATTAAGGATGTAAATCCCGTGGGTCCCACCAAGCATTTGGCAGCATATTTCCTACCCCAAGCATGTCCTGCGGCAAGGTCCGGGTATCTCCCCCCCTCCCCGGTCCCCTGCATCCACCCTCAACATCGGGGAAAAACTCAGTGTGACTTGAGGTGGCACTGCAATGAACACCGGAGCAAAGGCTAAGTCAGCTCAGGTTCTCACAGGCCCCACAGGAAGGGAGGCACCACCGCGCCTCCCCTACCATCTGCTCGGCTGTGCCACCCTCCATCCCGAGGTTGGGATATTTTTAGGTCCTAAGGCGATTAGAGGATTTTTCCGTGATGCTGGTGGGGTCCAGCAGCCAGCAATCACAGCCAGCCCCAGGCCAGGGCTGCAGGGGGACCCGCTGGGTGCCGTGGGGCACCCCAGCCCATGGCTGTGGCACTGACCACACCACACAGCATTGGGTGAATGCCTGCTCTATTCCCTGGCTTTGGAAAGGGAGGAGGAGAGAGAGGAAAGAAAAAGGCAAAGCAGTATCCCAGCACTATGGAAACTCCAGCACCCACTGCCTGAGGCTCAACCCTGAACCCACCACGATGATGGCAGAGATGCTCTGCTCCTCTGGGTGTCAGTGGTGTAACCCCACCCAGCACCTGGCCGCCCCCCAACTCACACCCACCTGAGTCAATGCAGTAGTCCCGGGGCTCCTGCTTGATGCCCATGGGGGGCTGGAAGCCGTGGCCAGGGGGGCCAGGCAGGCCGGGGCCGCTGGGCTCGTAGAGCGGGTCATGGTACTCCTGCTTGAATCCCTGAGGGGGGCGGGGGGCAGCCGGGCCCAGGGGCTCCGACAGCTCTCATAGTAGTAGCGCAGGGAGCGGCTGAGCTTGTCGTAGTTCATGGCTGGCCGGTTCTTCTGGATGCCCCAGCGCCGTGCTACCTGCGGGGAGAGGTGCAGCAGTCAGGGCTCCAGTGAGGGCTTGGACACGGATCCTCACACGAAATCACAACAGAAACGAAAAGGGGCTCGTTTCAGAGGGCTGATGCAGCCGGGGGTGAAGGCATCACCATGGCCCAGGAGTGGTGCCCCGCCTGCCATTACACACACTCCAGCTGCGGCCACGCAGCCACCGCCAAACCGGGAGCCGAATCAAAAGCCATTTGATTAGGGGGAGCCTGCCAAAAAAGCTGCTTCAAAAAACCACAATTTCCATGCATGGCACAAGAGACATTATGGGTAATTACCCACAATGCACAGCTCTGTGCTTGCTACAGCTGCTTTCAATTACTCCCCAAACAGCTTCTTCCTCTGTGTCACCCTCCCGCGGAGCCACACGGCTCCAGCAAGGCAGNCATCCCAGACCAGGACTGCATGACAGCTGGGTGTCTTCAGCTTGGGGTGCTCCCAAGGTGCACCCACAGCAGGCTGGGATGGTTCCTCAGGAGCATGGCCACCACAGGGGCTAATCCCATGGGGACCCAGTGGGGTGCTGAGGAGCCCCATCCCCTTCCAAGCACTGGGGACCCCATGCTGAAAGGGCAGGATAGCACGTGGGCCATCACAGAAAAGCACTCTGAGCTTCAGATATCTGGAAAGGAGTGAGAAAAGGAACCAAAAAACCAGCCCTAAACAGTCCTAATGCTGTAAACCAGTAAAATCTGGCCCCAGGGTGGGGGGCAGCACTGCAGGGCCCGGGGATGCTGCGCATGGGTGGGTGCTTACGCAAAGCCAAATCCACCCTGCAACTCCAGCCAGCTGCTAATCCGCCTGCGCAGCCGGGATTAAACCTTGAACTCAACAGCAGAGAGCACTATTTTCAGCTCCAGGGTGCTGCCACCACTGGTCTGAGCCCCAGCACGATCTCTGCTGGTGGCAATGGATGAGGGACCATCCCGAGGGTGTGCTGCCGCATCCCCCCGTCCTCCGGCACCTTGAAAGGCGATCTCGGATCTCCGTGCTGGCTCCTCTCGGCCGGCCTTGCACCATTTGGCTTTGTAACCGGAGCTCTCCCAGCTGCCGGGCTGGGATTACTCCATTTCCGAGCCATGTCCCTCTGCCCTTCCTGAATGAAACCCAAGCCCCACACTGGCACGGTGCTTCCCAAGGGGTCGCAGCCAGCCCCCCGCATAGCTCAAAGGTCACCCAGAGCTCCGCTTTGCTGGGGAGGGATGTTCACCTGCTGTGGGCACTTTCCAAGGGTTTCCATGGCCCCACTGCATGGTCTTTGCCAGGCTGCCACATCTAGCCCCAAGACCACAGGGGTGACAGAGTGGCTGTCACAGCAAAGGGCATCCAGAGGCCAAAAGCAAAGCCAGAGGTCTTCTGTGACCTGCGCTGTGGCACCTACTGAGAGCACCCTTGGGAGCAAACCCACGGTGAGGTTGAGGACTGGAAAAGTGTCAGGGATAGGGGAGTGATGGGGGATGAAGCTACAGCTTGAAGAGGAAGGAGGGAGCAGGGGTCTCCTTCCACAGCCCCCAAAATCACGGTAATGCAATGAGATACAAAAGGGAGCTCAGGACCAACCCCCAGCCTAGTGGTGCACAGGGACAGGACAGGGAAGGTCACAGCTCCCCAGCCCAGCAGGGCTCGGTTTGGGGGCAGAGCTGCAGTGGATGGGAATGAGGAGAGCAGAGCCTGACTCAGCACCATCACCTGTTGGCACAGGGATGGATGCAGGAGGCAGCCTCTGCCTCCTTCACCTTTCCAGAGGGGGAGGCAAAGGCTCTGCCTGGTGTTCCAGGGGCTGGGAGGAGAGGTTCCCATTAGCAGGAGAAAGAGCTGCAAGATCCCAATAGGAAGTAGCAAGTTTTGCCACATGGGACCCCAGGCAGCAACATTTGGCCCGCCGTCTGCAATCGCAGCACAGGGACAAAGGGACAGGCATCCCTCCTCCTTCCCCACGCTTTGGGGTCACTGACCCACCCTAAGAGTCCTCATAACCCCCCCAGCGGTTGCCGGGGTGGGGAACACCTTACCTGTGCTCTGTGGGGTATTGGTTCTCAGACATCATCTTTGGCATGTGCATGGGCGGGTGTGGTGGCCGT